GTTAAAAACTCTAGATAATTAATTTTATTTTCATATATTAAAATAAAATGTTAGTGTGACTTTTATAAATATATGTCCTTTATAATTAGTAATTTATTGCCATGTTTTCCTTGTGAGATGGCTTTGTGGTTAAAAAAGAAAGGGAGAGAGAGAGAGAAACCTTTAATTTTATGCTTCTAAGAGTTACTGAAATCAGTAAGCTCCTTATTTTTATGTATGGCTACTGATTTACTTAATCTATTTATCCATCAATTTTAACACTCAAATTATTATTAACACAGATATACAAAGAATGGGTTTTTTTCTACTCTAGAGTAGACCACCCATCTAGGGTAAAGTAAAGCTATTCCGCTTCATGGATCCTTAGAAGAATGAATCACATGGCAGCATGCAGCTATGGAAATTGTGATTCCATGCTGCACACCACTGAGAGCTGACATTACCCTAACTTGGCACTAGGAGGCGTATTGTTCCTACAGATATTTCTAATGCAATACTAACCACACTAGTCATGACCTCTTAAATAAGCTCACATGCAAGAGAATAGTACTAGCAACTTTAAAATATTTATAATAAACGAGTACTCAAAGAAAAATAATTCTTTGGGGGATTAAAGTCATACTTGAAATTGATAAAATCTAAAACTTTCCAGCAGACAAATCTTATGGACATGAATGTTAGCCATTTTTTAAAACTACTTTTTGTAATCATATATGAAATCAACTCATTGTACCTCTTTCAAAAATAAAATGGTAATAAAACAGAAAGTGCTTGGTTAAAAATTAATATAACAAGTGCTTTAAAATCATAAAGTGAACATAATTTATTTAAAGTAAAACAATAAAGATACTGGAGCATAAATATGCTTTACTATATACTTTTTATGAGTCTTTAGCAAATTGTGATGTTTGAAACCACCCATCAAATATGATTAATATGACAAAATGGCCAAGAATATAAAATATAAAGTTTTTAGAATTTGAAACTAAGGTTTTGTTAGAATTTTCTTTCTTCTAATGTGTAACACTGCTTTTACATTTCACAATTCACCATGGTAATTTTTAAAACTTGATGGAAAACTTTTATTAAATAATTAAGATACACGCTCTGCCTTTTCTGTACCTTTTTGCTATCTATTCATAATAATCATCACAGTTTTAAAAATGATATTTGCAAACTGAGACTGCATTTGTGTCAAAAGCCCTTGGTTCCTAGGTCTACAGAATTTCAGCTCCATGCCAGTGATGACTGCATTGAGTTATGTGCTGCCTTACAACACGTGCACAGTGAAGGTGGTTTCTCTGAACAGTAACAGCATTAGCTGTGGAGTGAGAGACTCCTGCGTTTATACCCTGCTTCAGATACTTGCGAAGCGGTTTTAGACAAATACATTTTCTGAAATTCAGTTTACTTATAATACTAACTTGCAATATTGGTGTGGAATCATAAACAATATGTTAAAACATTTACTAGCATTCCTCATTCATAAGCAGACCTTGATAAATGTTACCCAGAAATATCATCAAGTATCAAAACCATTCTTAGTGAGAAGTTCACCAACTGGTTCATATACAATCAGGTACAGTTAGAAGCGCATGGCAGATGGGGCTTTATAAAGTAAACATAATCTGAAATCATATATATGATTAAACAGCAAAAAATCACTTAAAGTAACATTTAAAAGAAATATCAGATATAAAAATTACCTTATTCATGATTCTCAATGGGACAAGATTAAGACTTCATTCCGAATTAGTGTTAAGAAGCGTTCCTCATATAATCATATCATTGTTTTTGTTTGCTTTTAAGTTAGTGAATTTCTATCATCAGTCTAATTATATTTGTTCAAAATAACAATCTTCAACTGAAAATCCCTTACTACTTTTTCAGAATTAATGCATTTATTGGGTTTTACCTGGACTGCATGATCACATTAATGAGTTTACTTCTTAAGGAAATATGGTTTACTCTGATAACTATTTTTTGAGAATTATTCTATTTGAAAAAAAAATAAGAATCTGCACAGATGCCATACCTAAATATAGATAATATAGCTATTTATGATTTATAGGTATATAACATGATTGCTATAAAATCATGGCTCTTCAAGAATGATCAGACCACAAGCAGAAAACCCCACGGAAGACAAAAGAAACAGTTTAGATCTAAATAGCAAGATTATTACTATTGAAGATTATTGCTTTGATAATACTGTACCTCACTTCACAAATTTAGTTACTGCTGAATTTTAAGATAATATATCATAATACTATCCTAATGCTGTTTAGTTATGACTCTCCTAATATTTCTGGGCTCTTCTAATTAATTCTGCTCTAGACAGTTACGAAGCAGGTTAAATTTTAAGTCCCATTAAATATCAAAGGACCATTAGCTCGCAGGGCCCCTCAGGGCTCCTCCTTTCCCTCCGTGCCTCTGCTTCTTCGCCAGTGATGAAAAGGACGCTGTTGCCACCAAGGAGGAGTGTTCTCATTTAACACATTTTATTGACCATGATTCTCCTGGGTGAAGTCACTGTGTTGAGTTGAATGTTGGAGTGCACAAGGGTGTTTCATCCCTTGAGTCTCCTTTTCCATGTGACTAGATTGGTAAAAACTCGGGGGACTTCTTGAAGCAGGTTTGAAAGGTTGTTGTTGGTTTTTTTTAGCTTGTTCTTTTTTGGCTTTAGAATGTCTTTTATCTTCTCCCATTTGGAAGCTGGCCCAGTGCTATTGCCCAGGTCTAAGTCATGGGGTGAGCAGCTGTATATATTGGATGAAGGTCTGGTTTAGGGCAGCTTAGGTTAACCGGACTTAGGTTTAAAATGGTTTTGGCTGAGTCCCAAAGACAAGAGGAGCCAATGACTCCCACGTGCAGAGGAGGTGCTCAAGAACCAGTCGTAGTCTCTTAGATTAATTCCAATCAGGGATGCTTTAAAATTGGAGAGGGGGAAGTTGGAGAACAGAGAATCAGTTTGGAACATATTGTCCTACCTATCCGACCTATTCACACAAGTCTAGAAAAGGTTGATTCCATGGAACGACTTAAAATCATGGTGCTTAGACTAATCAAAACCAAGAGACATAAAAAGAATAGTCGGGCAACCCTCCCAAATGCTGTGTGATGGGAAGTTGCCTTTTGGGGTATAGTCTGCCCTTTTGGATATGAGAAGTCAAAAGATGCACTTATGTTTTCCTTATGAGACCAAGATATAGGACACGGCACATCAAGAGCCAGAGCTGGTATAGAATTTACTTAAATCAGTGGCTCTCAACCTGTGGGGCGCGACCCCTTTGAGGGTTGATCGACCTTTTCACAGGGTTCGCCTAAGACCATCGGAAAACAAAAAGATATTTACATTACGATTCATAACAGTAGCAAAATTACAGATTATAGAGTAGCAACGAAAATAATTTTATGGTTGGGGGCCACCACAACATGAGGAACTGTATTAAGATTGGCCGGAGTGGTGAGAAACCTCCGCAGAAACAGGATGCAAATGTAACTCCATACACCAATGAGAAGAGAACCACAAATCAGAGAAAACTTTAGAGATGGGAGCACAGCTTGGGGTGGGGCATATGTACCAAAGATCCTATACTACCATGCTGGAAAGAGCTCAAAATCCTAGAAGCCAGAGAACACCAGTGCTAGACGACCATTTCAGGACTAGTTAAAAATGCCCTTTCATGCTTTTTACTTCCTTTTAGTATTTCTACTGGAACCATGGAATTGCCATAATGATTCTTCAATTGGACTTTTAATTTCCTAATAAAAGTGAACTAATCAGTGATGTATATATAAAATAACATGACCACAAAAGGTATAGCAATTGTCCAAAATTCCCTCCAAAGACCAAGAAAAAGTGTCCCATAGGGCTTACTTTCAATGGGCAATGACTTCTGAGATGGGGAGTGGGTCTGTGCAGAATTAAGCTTTGCCCAATTACATTTCACTCATTCTATTTGTTCAATGACCTGGTTCAAAAAAATCATCCAAAACTGAAATAAATTAAAAAAAATTGTAAAACCCCAGAATTGTTATCACCACTCTTCACACCTGTTTAAAATCACTACTGTACTTTTTTAAGTCTTCATTGGAAAATAGCATTCCACAGGACACTTTTCTTCTTATTCTGTACTGACTAGATTCCGTTTAACTGTGCTTCGTCAGTTAAATATGTTAAAATGTCTCCTTCACAATTAACTTCTTTGACATCAAGATGCCTTGCAACAAAAGGCTTTTTTTGCAATTGTATTTATAGCATTTCCTTTCTGTATTAATGGTCCATAAAATAAAGGTGCAACATACAATGGCCAATTGTGGTATAAGCCACGACATTTTTATTTTCTTTTCTGTAACGCAAATGTCTGACTTAAGCTCTGATTGCTGAGGCATCACCCACTTCAAAGCGACATCTGCTCCAGGGCTGGCTATCTCCCATGAACACACTGCTGACCACATGACCGGATCAAGAGCCAGGCTGCCTTCACTGCACTGAGGCTCCGTTGTTTCCCAGATCTTAGTCGATGTCAGTAACTGACCTTCGGGCCATTTGAGGTCCTTGCTCGTGTTCTCTACCCCTAGGGCCACACCCTCGACCCCAATAAAAGCACCACCTCATTCTCATGTGCTCACTCTTTCTCCCTGGACCTCACTGTGTGACCCCAGGTGTGCTGTGTGATTCCCAGGTCTTGCAAGTAATAAACATGTATCTTATCAATGTTTCCTGATGGTTATCACTGACCTGCGCCTTGCAATCATAATAAGGTCCACAGCGCTGGACCAGCCACAATACTGGCCCTGGATAGGCTGACACCAGTACAAAACACCAATATAGATCAAGCACATTGCACTTGGCATATTATAAATCACACAAGAAAACCAGAAAAACAAAACAAAACTGAATGTTCCTTTCCTAGCTTCCCAGAGTTCTTGCGTAAAACTTGAGCGCGCAAAAGAGAAGCAGCAGAGCTCCGAGAAAAGTGCAGGCGAGGACTCACCGGAGTTGGGGTCAGAGTTGCCGTCTGCCTCGGTCCTCTTGTCCGGAGAGGCCTGGTCATAGAATTCGTCCTGTGTCTGAACCAGAGGAAGAGGGTGTGAGATCAGGGTGCCACTACCCACCGGCTCGTGGTCTCCTAGACCACTGTCACTGCAGCTTTCCTGGGAGCCGTCGGGGAGATGAAACGTAACGCGGCGCTGCGACTACAAAGAAGACCACAGGACATGCCATTAACACTCCTCCCCAGGACGACAGGCGCAGCGGAGCGCAAATCAAAGCAAATTTTAACAAGCAATACAATGTAAAAGCAAAACAAGTGACACTTAGAACCAGGTGAGGAACACGCACTGATAACGTGCCGTTTGCTATGTAATACCCAACTCGCCAAATACAAGAAGGAATGTCAATCTCGGGTCATTCAAGAGCAAAAAATTAATGGTGAGCCATTGGAAATGGCAGCAAGAAAGGCAGGAAAAAATATGTATACTAGTTGTCAAAGTTATAGAAAAATATTTAGAAATAAACAGAAGGTGCAAATGTGCAAACATATAATACGACAATCCCATTTCTTTTGAATGAATAAGCAGTGTGCTTACTGAGTGATTTTAAAGTAGGGAAGTGATCATTGCCCACTGGCCTAGGTATTGCTGCAAGTCATTGGTTATAGGACATCCCCGTTGAAAGGTGTTTGGAACGATACTTGGCCTCTATTTGCCCAATGTCACTATCAGAAGTGACCTAAAATATGGGTACTTCAATAAGTTTTAGTGTTTAATAAACTAAAATTGCACATTTAAGCCCACATTGCTGCGTATTTCTCTTGGTAAATATAATTTCAGCTGACGTAATCCATGAGATAGGAGAATATTTACAGCTGAGCAGGATGGCGATTTATCACTTCCAGAATTACATGAGCATAGTAAATTCATGCTACTTGTCTGAGTGCATCTAATTTTCATTCTGCTTTAACAGCCAAAACACTTTTCGATATGTGTCACGTGACCATTTTAACTGGATTTAATATTTAATAAAAGTACGAATATACAAATAAAATCTATAACCTATATATAATGTATAATATCATCATTTTATAATACAAGAGAATTTATAGGTTATATCCATTTCAAGGAAAAATGAATGCAGATAGAGACAAAATGCAGCTATAGGTAGAGATACTGCTACTCTATAAATGCATTTTTATACACTGGCAATAGAAAATAGCCTATTTCCTATGAGTCACTGGTTCAAATCCAGCTCAGTCATAATAGAGAAGAGCTGATACCACTTTATTGCTGTTCAATGACCTGTGTAAAATGATTTGATAGTTCAGTACATTTTTAATGAACTGATGCCAACATCACATAAACTATAATCATAAATGGTCCTAATTGAGTCTATTGCAGCATGTCTCACCTTCATGCACAGCTATCTGAATGCTATCATCCCCTTCTCAGTCGGTTTTGAAATGCACTTATGTGAGAGCTATACAGTGAGCCAAACTTTCATATTAATATCTAAAATATATGTATCCTTGTATTGAAAGGCCATGTTACCATTTTTACTTATTATAGTGTTTCTTCTCATTGTGAATTTAGCCTTTTATGAAAAACCACTAATACAAGTATATTTTCCATTTCTGTTTCAACATGCCCTTAATACATTGGTATAATTCCATGATATACACAGCATTACAGAAAATGACCAGGCTATTCATTATACATGGCTGTCAAACTAAGCTTTTAAAATAACTGGCCCTACTAAAATGCCATAGTTTTAGTGATTGAAATGTCTTTGGTGTCATCTCTGCAGGACTACCTCTTAGTTATAGCTCCGATAAGTAAAGTCAAACATAAGAGAAAGAGAATATAATGAATGATTCTGCAATCTTTATAAAGAATTTCTGGAAGCCTCATAAGCCATTAAAAAGTATATGTTTCATAGACACACAAAAATGGAAAATTGGCATATGTGATATTCTTTTAAATATAATTAATGTTACTTTAATTACAGTATATTTTTTCCTCCTAAAAAAATGTCCAAATCTGCAACACCAGTTATACCTGAATCTGGCAATTCTCCCAATGTGGTCATTTCAACTAATATTTATTGAGCACCTATTAAATTCCTAGAACTCTGATTACACTGAAAATAAAAAGTAAAATCTATTTTTTAAATCTATTTTAAATATAAATTAATAGATTCCATCTCACATTTACTATACTATGATATTTCTTTACCACTTTATGAATAAGAAAATACATAAATCTAGCACGATTTATTTGCAGTGAGACACTGAATTAGAGTGATATAATGTTTAAACTACTGTGGCTTATGGAAATATTTCTGAATTAATTTGACTCAAATATGTTTAGTTCTTAATTGGGAAAATTGTGCACAATTTATCATGTGGGAGGTGGGAGTGGTGATACATATGGACTAAGAATTCAAACATACATATAATGGTAGTAAGAAAACTGGTCAAGCAAAACAGTCTTTCATTTATCATAATTATTGATGCGGGTAGAAGGATGTCTGAAATATCAATGTAGATGTATGGCGATGATTTGAATAAATTAAAATGCAGAAGAACAAGGATCCGTGAAGCGTTAAGAAACAGGAGTTGTGAATGTCACCAAGGACTCAGCAGTATTTATTCTGGTTTTGTCGAATAGCACCAGGTGAGGAACCAGAACCAGACCTCCTGGCTGGGAGCCCATGCTCTACAGAGACTGGCCCTGGACAAGGTATATTATCTCTTGAACAGATTTGTAAAATGGAAAACATGCTGTCTTCACCAGAGCGGGTATTAGAAGGCTAAGGCTCAAATCAAATAAGAAGTGTTCTTGGTATATATTGGATTGTCGGAAAAGTCATGATGCATTTTTGCAACTAAAAACATAGAAAGATACATCATGACTTTCCTGACAACCCAATAATACTTGATACATAGTAGGTACTCAAGAAAATGTAGCTATACTTCTCGAAATGTATAGCTGCCTAGTATCTTTTAACCTCTGTGTCTATCAGTGTTTCGCTACTTTTACAGATGTGAAACCTTCACCCCAGAGGAAAACGATGGCCCTTTGAGAGGGAGCTGCCTGAACCCCAGAATCTTAGCATGCTTCACTCTGTGCCTACAGACCACCTCAGCTCAGAGGCCCCAGAGCGGAAGCTGATCTGGGGTGGGCGTGAGGGATAAAGAAGATCAACATTCTAGAACACATGGTTTCTCCTCAGAGGATGTGAAGGGTTTCCCATTACCTTTTCAAGACACCTTCAATCGCCTGTATATTTGAACAGAGAAAGAGGAAGAAGTTTTTACTTACTTCCTCTGGAAATTTTGCTTTTGGGTTACCCCCATGGAAAAAGGCACAATTTGGGTTACATATAGTCAAATCCTGCCTGACTGAATTAGGATAACATGTTATCATGAGACTATTTCATATTTTCCAGATTCTGGGCACTTAGATTTTGTTTTTCTAAACCTATTTCTTACACATTTCAATTTCTTTCATGAGAAGTACCATTATTATTATTATTATTATTATTATTATTATTATTATTATTATTAATGCATTATTATTGGCTATGCCTGGTTAATGGTTTGAATGTCACATTTCTTTATTTGTTTTAGCACTGGCAGGTTAGTTTCAGGCCTGTAGCTGCCCTGCAAAAGAATAAGATGGGACCAAGTAACTAATGAGGCTGTTTCGTCTTATGTTTTCTCAGGGCTGCTGATATGAATTCTGACCTAGCTAAGCTTTCATCAGAGATCCTGTACTCTACACAAGCATGAGGGACCATGCATGCAAATAGAGGTATGTTTAGGATCTTGCAAGTCCAAAGGAGCCACGCTGGCTTGATTTAAGAAACATCACTAAGCACCTTTGCAATGTTCTTCCCCATCCCTAGTCTCCCGTACAGGGTAGTAGAAAAGAAAGAGGAAAAATTCAAGATGCCTCAGGAAGATACACGTGATCCTGCACTGGGCACTGGCCTTCAAGAGTCCCTGGAAGAATGAGTCACCTAAGATATCTCAATCATTGCTTGAATGTTTCTCGTGTGGGTTGCTTATTGGCGTAGAATATCCTTCATCAATGAATGATTCACTTCCAAGCTAACAACTCCAGTCCCATTAATCTAGAGGAATTCTCATATGCAAAGATTTGGTGGTAAAGTTCATTGTGTCTTTGAATGAACAGCAACATGTAGAAAAGAGTGAAATATTTAGGAGGTGACTTATTAATAAATTATGTAATATCATTCAATTGATAAATTCACAATACTTAAAATCATGATAATTGATACAGAAAATATTTATAATCTATTGTTAAGCATACAAAACAGGTTAGTAAAGGTTTTGCTTATTCGAAATACATTTTTGTGAATATGCTTTCATATTTGAATGTACATAAACTAAGTTCTGTCTGAGCAAACACCAACTATTTAAAGTGGTATTGTAGGACCATGGAATTAGATATTTAAAATTTTTGTTATTATCTTGGCTGCACTAAAATTTTCATGCATTGCCTTTGTAATAATAAAACACTCTGATTTTTAAGTATTTTTCTTTGTCACTTATAACAAATTAGCACTTAGTCCAAGAGAATGGAAAAATCCCATAGACAGGAGGAGGTGAGCATTATCTTGAGACAAATATCTTCCTGTCCTTTCTCCGGTATTCTAACTTCCATTCTTTACCTACTTTTTTAATCACTGCCATTAAAAATCCTTGCCTTCTCCTCAAATGACAAAATAACTACAAGAATGTGGCACTAAGCCAATTATTACAAGTCAAATAAACAAATTTACCAGTTAATGACTGCCATTTAAAATAATTATTATCTGGAAAATTATAAATTGATAGTATAGAAGTAGAAAAATAGTGCTCTAAAATTGTTTAAACATGGTTTTAGCTGTAGAGGACTCTTTAAATATCTTTTCAAGGAAATATTCCTAATTCTGATTTAGTTCCTTTGACCTTGTTAAGAAATAATCTATCATCTGTGTATATATCTAATCACTAAACAGTACATACACACAGACACAGACACACACACACACACACACACACACACACACATCAGCCAGAATTTACTTATGATGAACTACAAGACAAAGTCATATTAAAGTTTCATATGCAAACCTGATTTCATTTTATCTCCACATTAAATTCAATAAAGGTATGCTTTTCCTTTTCTTG